GATAAGTAGTGTTCATATTATATATTCTTTAGTGTTCTTGTAATCTATTGGCAGAAGAGTGTGAATGTGAGGACTCCGTCAATGAAGAGTACTTTTGGTGTTATAACGAATGCGGCAGAACTTGTGCTGACACAGGACATCCAGATAATGGCAGCTGTCAGAAGTGCTCCAGAGGTTGCTTTTGCAAGGATGGTATGCATTTGACATTCATTACTTTAAATCATTACACAATTTACACATTTTTGCAATTCTCTCACTGTTTAGGTTTAGTACGGAATGAGAACGGAGTTTGTGTTCGTCCGCATGAATGTAAAACTACTGTAGCTTTCAGTGGTATGACAACCGGTAATATGAAATGCAATGTCGTCAATGAAGTATACATGGAGTGCGGGTCAGACTGTGGCCGACACTGCCATGAGTTGGAAAAATCAAAGATGGCTTTGCAATGCTTTTCGTGTAGTGTCGGCTGTTATTGTGATAAAGGCTTCTATCGTTCATACGATGGCAAATGTGTTGAAGAGTCCAAATGTTTGGCAAAGAACTATGAGCTCCTCAGAGACTGTGGTCTCAATGAAGAGTTTTCACATTGCGGTAGCGCTTGTGGTACTAATTGTTCAGATGTCAACAAACCTAACCTCATGTGCACACAGGAGTGCAAAGTGGGCTGTTTTTGTAAGAAAGACCATTTTAGGAATAAGAGAGGCATTTGTATTCCCAAAGACCGGTGCGATTCCAGTCAATGTCCATCGGGTGAAGAGTATTCAAAGTGTGGCAAACATTGCGGTGAGTCGTGCGAAGAGCAGCTAAAGGGAGACCTAATATGCGACCGCATGTGCGAAGAGGGCTGTTTCTGTCTGCCCGGGACCTATAGAAATGCTGACGGCGTGTGTGTCAAGAAAATTGAGTGCAATTCACAGAAAAGTCAATCAAACAATGCTATCTGTCCTTCAAATGAAGAATTCACAGATTGTGGCAATTCTTGCAAAGAATCGTGTGATTCAAACACTATCTGCACCCAAGAGTGCCAGAGGGGCTGCTTCTGTATCGCAGGTATGCCTTCAAATTGATTATGACTTTATTGCAAGCGATTAATCAAACGATACAATAAAATAGGACACCACAGACACAGATCAGGTCGATGTGTGCCCAACGACCAGTGCAAAGAGTTGGATCAATGCGTTGAATGCGATTTGAGTGAATTTTACACTAATTGTGGCTCAGATTGTGGCCGAAAGTGCTCTGATTTGACTAAAAGTGATGAAAGTAACGAATGCCAGACACAGAGCTGTAGGAAAGGCTGTTTTTGTAAATATGGATTCTATAGGAATCAATATGGAAAATGTGTTTCCCGTAGTAATTGTACTCTTAGTTTATAAATAATGTTGTATTTGTAATTAAAAAAGTTAATAATAACATATAGTTTTCTAATTATTAAAAATAGTTTGTTCTCACTTTGTTTTCTCAATTCAATAAATGTTTAAAACTTTTGTTGAAATTGTTTTTGATTTGTTGGTCTTAGATGTAGTGATTTTGTCTGCAATTCAACGGCTATTGTTGAAGCGACTGAAAGATATTTAAATAGTTTTAAGACATTTCTAATGGTTATAAATATTTCGTACACTCTTTGTGTTTATTGTGTGAGGATGTGCTGTATATCTGGGAATCTGATGATGGGTCAGTCGCATACCAGACTACATTGGGTTCATTGTCTTGGTTTGAAGTACTTCTGAATTTGTTGAGTCGAATCCAACCGTTCCTTACTTTCGAAAACAATCTAATTCTGAAGATATTTCCAAATTTCTTCGTTTCATTTGAAGATGTGTTGGGGTTTGGTCTGCAAAATATACTTTGCTCTGCATTTTGGGCCGTATTTTGTCATTTTGGTGAACATATCTCCAAATGATTGTATATTCTTTATAAGAATTATTAATATTTTAATAAAGAATTAAAATTTATATTTATATTAAAGTATAATTAAGTAAAGTTATTTACGATCCCATAGAAAAACTTCCTATGAGTTGTTTGGTATAAACTGAATTTGAATCATTCAAATGTGTTACACTTTTTGAACATTGTTTGCATTCATTATTAAGTGTAGTTCCTATGGTTAGTCTCTCGTCATCAACAGTCCACTCATTCAGCGATTTTCTATATGTCCGGCAATCGTCTCTACGTATTATTTTATATTTAGCAAACATTTTCTCCATATGTTTAGTTATAATAATAAAACCAATTAATAAATCCCACTATAAGTCTAATAAACACGTCGTACTTACCTTTTAAGTATTTGTTTGTTATTTAAGATTATTAAAATTATTTACTAAAATATAGTAAATTTTCGTGTATGAATATATGGTATAATTTAATATACGGTATTAATAAAATACTGTACATTACAGTACAGAACTGTACGTGTACTTTATATCATAAGATTACAATTTAGTTTAATATAAAATAAAGTTTTTATTAAAATTTTCCAACTAGATGTACACTGTACAATTAGAATTTGAAAAAACTGACACAAATGTTAAATTGTACCTGGTTTTTAGGATTAACATAATGTACATGCTGCTAATTAGCACCTACCGAATATTGTTATTTAATTAATTAAATTTTATTTGAATTAACCGCTTAGTTAATATATCGTATTTAGAGCCACTATAAAATTTCAATAATTAATTAAAATTATTAACAAATACATAATCAATTAATGGCTAGTAATATATTTCCAATACAAATATGTGCTGTGAATGTACTTAAACTCTAAAGATGAGAATTTTATACACAATTATATTATGTCTAATCCTAGAAATAACTGGAATACATTCAAGTGAGTAAATGCTTAATATTAAAATCGTGATTATAATGTAGAAATTAATCAATTACTAAATGAAAGCCTACTAATTATAGTAAATATTTGTTGACATATAGATTGTAATTTGTTCCGAAACACTGTATTTCAATCGTTGGGCACAGATTGTGGTCACAAATGTACAGAGAAAAGTGCAAGGACATATCAATACTGTGATGGTATTCGCAAACCGGGTTGTTATTGTAAACCGGGATACTATAGGGACTGGTCGTATAACTGTATTCGCGGCAGTCAGTGCGATAAATCGGGCCCTTCCAAAGGGGGGCCCAGAACCAGAAGTCTAGCCCCACCTCCCAAACAGAAAAAATGCTATCCAAACGAACTATTCACCGATTGTGGCAATTATTGTATTGAAAATTGCAAAAACTCCGGAAAAGACGTTTGTCCACTAAACAAGTATTGCATCAAACATTGAATCAAATTATTAATATATTATCATATGATTTAATAATAGGTGCGATATTGGGTGCACCTGTACTGATGGCTACAATAGGGATGACGAAGGTTTGACCATTCATTTGTTAATGTAGTTTATAATGTGGTGAAACCCGTACTAATCATTTGGTGTTATATACGGTTATATATATTAGGCGTATGTGTGCCACAAAAGAAATGTGGTGTCCAACTGCCCACAACTAAATCCAAGTCACCAAAAGTGTGTCCATTTGGTGAGCAGTACAATGACTGTGGGAAACGATGCTCCGAGAGCTGCGGCCAATCTAAATGTAAGGGTAAAGAGAAGTGTGAGAAAGGTTGTTTTTGTAAACATGGTTACTCCAGGAATACTCAAGGAAATTGTGTGCCCGCCGTATGTTTTATTATTTTTTATATTCTCAATTCAATTGTAATTAAATTATATAATTATAGAAAGACTGTATTGGAAAGGGATCTCAATGTAAGAAACCCAATGAAGTGTTTGAAATGTGTGGCAATGCTTGCGCTGATCTCTGCAATCCACCCATCGGTCAGTTTTCGACATTTAGAGTAATTGTAGCTTAAAGTTTAACCTAGCTTATATTTTGTATTATTATAAAACAATACAATATATGTTGACTACAGAATGTCCGGCTAAATGCAAACCGGGCTGTTATTGTAAAAAACCGGATTACTTTAGGGATGGCGATAGGAATTGCGTGAAAGAGGGCAAGAATAAGGCGGGCCCCAAGTCATGTCTGCCCATACCTAAGACGGCGACTCCCAAACCTAAGATCGCCAAAGATTGCAAGAAAAATGAAGTCTACAAACTATGCGGTACTCTCTGCGGACAGTCGTGTAGTTCACTGAATAAGGAATACGTCTGTCCCCGACGCAAGATTTGTGTCAAGTATAACACAATCCTATTGATAACCAATCTTTTAATAATTAATACATTTGTGTCAATTTAGGGGCTGTTTCTGTAAAGAGGGTCACTATAGGAACAAAGCGGGCAATTGTATGCCCGAAGACAAGTGCGATTCGGGTCCGACGGACGGCAAGAAAAAGCCGAAATGCAAGAAGACTGAAGTGTATAAGGAATGCGGCAATCCTTGCGTTGAACTATGCAATCCTCCCGCTGTTTGTATTTTACAATTATATTTAATACAAAACTAACACTAATTTGTTTGAATGAAACGCCAGATCTGTTCGTATGAATGCCAGTCCGGTTGCTATTGTAAAGAAAACTTCTACAGGAATAGAGCCGGTGTTTGTGTGCCTCTAAATAGTTGGGTTTTGAACATAAAATTTTCATTCAATCTTTAATTGTCTTTTGTTTTGTCGATCAGAATGTCCACCACTTGTGGATCACGACAACGGAGACCCGGATAAATGTAGCCCTCCTATGAAACGTAACAAATGTCGCAAGAATTGTATTCAAAGCTGTGCAGAAGTGGCGGCAAAGATGGTGTGCCCGCGAAGGAAGGCTTGTATAGCCGGCTGTTTCTGCAAAGAGGGTGAGTTGACTAAACCCAAATGCAAACCTCCCTGTCCTCGCAATGAAGGCCGTAGTGAATGCGGCAACAGATGTATGGAATCGTTTGAGAATAAACTCTTCAAACGTGTTATTTGTGATCCAAACCATTGTGACTCCGGGTGTTTCTGTTTACCACCACTGTATCGCAATTATGAGGGCCAGTGCGTCCCGTACCCACCTCCCTGTCCAAGCCGTGAAAAATTCAGTGAATGTGGTAATAGATGTATGGAATCGTTGGAAATTAAGAAACACAACCGATTATCATGTGATCCCAATGAGTGTGATGTAGGTTGTTTTTGCTTACCACCATTTTATCGCAACAAAAGAGGTCTGTGCGTCAAATATAGACCCCACTGTCCACCCAGGGAGGGGTATAGTGAATGTGGTAATAGGTGTATGGAGTCGTTTGAAAATAAAATCCATAGACGAGCCAAATGTGATGTTAACCATTGCGATGCCGGATGTTTCTGTTTGCCCCCACTGTTCCGCAATATGGAGGGACAATGTGTCGAATACCCGCCTCCCTGTCCACCTAAGGAGGCATTTACTACATGCGGGAGTAGATGTATGGAGTCATTAACCAATCGACTAAATAATGAGAGATGCGATCCAAGTGTCTGTGATATCGGATGCTTCTGCGAACCCGACCTCTTTAGGGATGAGTCGGGCAGTTGTGTTAAACCGCCGCCGCCCACCACAACCCCTCCGCCCACTACTACTCCGGAGTGCCCTCAGGGCGAGGAGATGACTGATTGTGGGAACAGATGTCTTGAATTACTCGAGAACAAAGACAAGTCATCTGAATGTGTCCTTGACGTGTGTGAGCAAGGTTGTTTCTGTATGAACGGCATGTATCGCAACAAGAAGGGTAAATGTGTGGAACCGCCCACAGAGGCCTGTCTAATACCGGAGCGCAAGTGTCGGCCGGAAGAGGAGTGGAGTGGCTGTAAGAGTCGGTGCCGAGAGATGTGTGTCAACCGAAACCAGGCGTACGCCTGTCCGCTCAACCGGTGCGACGTCGGCTGCTTTTGCGAGGAGGGGCTGTACAGAGACGCCGAGGGGTTCTGTGTTCCGCCGCATGCGTGCCAAGAATTAACCACAACTCCGTGTCCACTCCCACCCGCACCCAAATGCCCGGCTGGTGAGGTGTTTCGGGAGTGCGCGAGTCGTTGCGCCGAATACTGTCATAACGCGAACGACCCGTCCTTCTGTCCGCCCAAAGTGTGCGAAACGGGCTGTTTCTGCGAGAGGGGCGCCTTTAGGAACGATAGGGGTGTCTGTGTTCCCAAACACGAGTGCGATATACTGATGCTCACACCGAAGCCCATGTTAGTGTGCGCTACGAATGAGAAGTTCTCGAGTTGTGGGACCCGGTGTCAGGAGTATTGTGAGGGCCAGCGACCCGACAACGAGCAGTGCACCGGTAGTGCCTCGTGTGAGTTCGGGTGCTTCTGCGCCCCCGGATTCAAGAGGACTAAGTCGGATGAATGCGTTCCCGACGGTGAGTGCAATGGAGGCCCTCCCAGGGATAAGGATCAGGAGGAAAATGAAGCCGTTGACAAAAGTCGTGCCGCAACTGATGAGGACATGGAGGAGAGCGCCAGTATTGATCGATCCAAGAAGAAATCACTTAATTATGTGGACAAAAAGTCTTGTAGTTTGCATGAAGAGTACAAAGAGTGTGGACACGAATGCGGAAAAACATGTGTCGACTACCAGACGAGGGTTCAGTGCGGGCATCAGGGCTGCAAAGAGGGCTGTTTCTGTGTTAGCGGTAAATATAGTTTTGTTGATTAACTTAATTTTGATTATTTAAGAAGAAATTTAAGAGATTCTCACAATCGCTTTAAACAATATTAGAAAGATACTATAAATAATACAGTATGAGTATTGTATGTTAAAAAACAATAATTTATTGGTTTAAAAAGAAATTAAATACACAGAATTGTAATATTATTAGGTCTCTACAAATAATACTTATTTATGTTTTATTCTCATTGATAGGCTATTTACGCGATCATAAAGACTGTGTTTTACCCAAGGATTGTAAAGTCAGCAATTCTAGACCCGAGCCCTTCACACACTCTCTAAACCTTAACTATGATTTAATAAACAATCGCATAATTCTTAACTAATGAACACACGACTCACTTTTGATTTTAAAATAAATTTTATAATTCATAATTCATATGTAGTCATAAAATATTTATTACTATCATTTATAATAAAATAGCACTATTTGTTCATTGCCTACTTTTACTTATCTTATATTAATGAAAATAGTGGCTAAACATACTTGTTATTTGAATTGCTGTCAATATTAAGGTTACCTGAGAGATGAGGACGAGAGGTGTGTATTGCCACGTCGATGCAGAGCTCCGGTACGTACTGAGCGATCCATAGCTATGCGACGGTACGAACCCACGAGTGCCACCGAAATGACCACCAAATCGGCCGATAAATGTGGTCGCAATGAACACTACAGTACGTGCGGCTCAACCTGTAATCAAACGTGTGATTCATCGCATAACGTGTTGTGTATAGAGGAGTGTCAGGTCGGATGCTTTTGCGACGACGGACTCTTCAGGAACATCGACAAAATATGTGTGCCTAAGGATCAGGTATTTGTGGCAATTAGTATTCATAATCGTAATAACTTATTAACCATATAGACTATGATAATAGAGGTTTAGTTGCTAGTGAATTATTAATAGTTTATTTTCAACAAGAATTTGTACGCAAAATAATAGAGTATTGATAAGTAGTGTTCATATTATATATTCTTTAGTGTTCTTGTAATCTATTGGCAGAAGAGTGTGAATGTGAGGACTCCGTCAATGAAGAGTACTTTTGGTGTTATAACGAATGCGGCAGAACTTGTGCNATTGATAAGTAGTGTTCATATTATATATTCTTTAGTGTTCTTGTAATCTATTGGCAGAAGAGTGTGAATGTGAGGACTCCGTCAATGAAGAGTACTTTTGGTGTTATAACGAATGCGGCAGAACTTGTGCAGACTTCGGACATCCAGATAATGACAGCTGTCAGAAGTGCTCCAGAGGCTGCTTTTGCAAGGATGGTATGCATTTGACATTCATTACTTTAAATCATTACACTATTTACACATTTTTGCAATTCTCTCAATGTTTAGGTTTAGTACGGAATGAGAACGGAGTTTGTGTTCGTCCGCATGAATGCAAAACTACTGTAGCTTTCAGTGGTATGACAACCGGTAATATGAAATGTAATGTCAATAATGAAGTATATATGGAGTGCGGGTCAGACTGTGGCCGACACTGCCATGAGTTGGAAAAATCAAAGATGGCTTTGCAATGCTTTTCGTGTAGTGTCGGCTGTTATTGTGATAAAGGCTTCTATCGTTCATACGATGGGAAATGTGTCGAAGAGTCCAAATGTTTGGCGAAGAACTACGAGCTCCTGAGAGACTGTGGTCTCAATGAAGAGTTTTCACATTGCGGTAGCGCTTGTGGTACTAATTGTTCAGATGTTAACAAACCTAACCTCATGTGCACACAGGAGTGCAAAGTGGGCTGTTTTTGTAAGAAAGACCATTTTAGGAATAAGAGAGGCATTTGTATTCCCAAAGACCGGTGCGATTCCAGTCAATGTCCATCGGGTGAAGAGTATTCAAAGTGTGGCAAACATTGCGGTGAGTCGTGCGTAGAGCAGCTAAAAGGAGACCTAATATGCGACCGCATGTGCGAAGAAGGCTGTTTCTGTCTGCCCGGGACCTATAGAAATGCTGACGGCGTGTGTGTCAAGAAAATTAAGTGCAATTCACAGAAAAGTCAATCAAACAATGCTATCTGTCCTTCAAATGAAGAATTCACAGATTGTGGCAATTCTTGCAAAGAATCGTGTGATTCAAACACTATCTGCACCCAAGAGTGCCACAGGGGCTGCTTCTGTATCGCAGGTATGCCTTCAAATTGATTATGACTTTATTGCAAGCGATTAATCAAACGATACAATACAATAGGACACCACAGACACCGATCAGGTCGATGTGTGCCCAAAGATCAGTGCAAAGAGTTGGATCAATGCGTTGAATGCAATTTGAGTGAATTTTACACTAATTGTGGCTCAGATTGTGGCCGAAAGTGCTCTGATTTGACCAAAAGTGATGAAAGTAACGAATGCCAGACACAGAGTTGTAGGAAAGGCTGTTTTTGTAAATATGGATTCTATAGGAATCAATATGGAAAATGTGTTTCCCGTAGTAATTGTACTCTTAGTTTATAAATAATGTTGTATTTGTAATTTTAAAAAATCAATAATAACATATAGTTTTCTAATTATTAAAAATAGTTTGTTCTCACTTTGTTTTCTCAGTTCAATGAATGTTTAAAACTTTTGTTGAAATTGTTTTTGATTTGTTGGTCTTAGATGTAGTGATTTTGTCTGCAATTCTACGGCTATTGTTGAAGCGACTGAAAGATATTTAAATAGTTTTAAGACATTTCTAATGGTTATCACAAATATTTCGTACACTCTTTGTGTTTATTGTGAGAGGATGTGCTGTATATCTGGGAATCTGATGATGGGTCAGTCGCATACCAGACTACATTGGGTTCATTGTCTTGGTTTGGAGTCGGATCCGACCGTTTCTTACTTTCGAAAACAATCTAATTCTGAAGATATTTCCAAATTTCTTCGTTTCATTTAGTGATGTGTTGGGGTTTGGTCTGCAAGATGTACTTTGCTCTGCATTTTGGGCAGTATTTTGTAAATTTGGTGAACATATCTCCAAATTATTGTATATTCTTTATAAGAATTATTAATATTTTAATAAAGAATTAATATTAATATTTATATAAAAATATAATTAAATAAAGTTATTTACGATCCCATAGACAAACTTCCTATGAGTTGTTTGGTATAAACTGAATTTGAATCATTCAAATGTGTTAAACTTTTTGAACATTGTTTGCATTCATTATTAAGTGTAGTTCCTATGGTTAGTCTCTCGTCATCAACAGTCCACTCATTCAGCGGTTTTCTATATGTCCGGCAATCGTCTCTACGTATTATTTTATATTTAGCAAACATTTTCTCCATATGTTTAGTTATAATAATAAAACCAATTAATAAATCCCACTATAAGTCTAATAAACACGTCGTA